ACTTACAATTTGTAATTATAAGTTTGAAATCAATTTGAAATAATATTGTTGGTTAGTTAATCCTCTAAAACTTCTCCGTATGAGAAGAGGCCTTTGCTCAGCAGTGGGCACTTATAGGCTGATGATGATGATGATGATGATAGGTCATCGAGCCGGATCACCTGTTGGTAAGCAATCAGCGTCGCCCAGAGACACTCGTAATACCAAAGGACTTACTACAAGTGCGTTGCCAGACTCTTGAGGATTTAAGTATAGGGGATTGGGAGGGGGGGGGGGAGGATTGGGCCTATGGTAACCTCACACACGACCAATCACAACGTAATTGCTGTTTCAAGCCGGTTTTCTGTGAGGCCGTCGTATCACTCCAGTCGAGCGTAACCATTCAGGCTGAAGCATGGCTCTCCCACAATTAAAGCATATAGTGTCATGTTCGTTTATCGAGTGTGTCTGTTGTAGCAATCACTGAACCGGCTATTTGTTTCTTGTTTGAAGTAAAAAATAAAATATAAAGGTTTTAATTGTTACCAGAAATAATAGTTTTTGTGAGGGGAAAATCATTCAAATACGTCTTTCGCCCAGGGTGAAAGCGAGAGGAAGTGTCAGACTCTTACTGACTAAAATACCCCTGATCCTGCTCCTGCTCTAGGCCGAGGCCACAGTACTTTATTCCGCTAGCCCCACAACCCCGACTGAGCCAAAAATAACACCTATACAACTTTGAGTAATTGCAAATTAATTACTATAAATCTTTGAATAAGGACTAACATAGTATAGGACTATATAACTGATCATATAATAATCATAGTTCTAATGATTACTCATTTAAGTCACCTCATCATCATCATCAGCCTACAAGTGCCCACTGCTGAGCAAAGGCCTCTTCTCACACGGAGAAGGTTAGAGCATTAATCACCACGCTTGCTCAATGCGGGTTGGTGATTTCAAACTTATAATTAGAAATTATAAGTCCAGGTTTCCTCACGATGTTTACCTTCACCGTATGTCAGTGGTGTCTAAATAATCATAGAAAGTACATATAACTCGGAAAAAGTCACATTGGTATTTGCCAGGTTTCGAACCCGCACCCTCATGCATGAGAAGCGGGCGCCTTAACCTCCGGGCCACCACGACTTTTAAGTCACCTATTACATCATAATTATACTCCATTGTAACCAATAATTTATAACTGTTCAACTGTGTCACTGTTATCGTAATGGACCTAAACAATAATATTGTATTGATGAGTGAGTCAACAAATCTATCTAATTTTCCAAACATACGTATACATACATAGGCACGTTCATTTTCACTACAGTGAAACTTGATAGAAGTTACCTAATTAGTACCAGCTTCGAGTAACTTTATAACCTCCTAACACAGCTGAATATCAAATATCTTTGACCTATCTAGAATAACCAACAATCTAATTAGTTTACTTTCAGATATTGAGCGCTAAAAGCGTGTCTCTTCCTATTTTTATATATCTGTTTACTTTTGCGGAAAAATAAAATGTTACACAGAACGCACTAAAATATATGGCCCAGGAAATTCAATTTGTTAGAACCCCTGTTGGAAGGTCGAGGTTACACTGATGTGGGGATTAAGGAGACGAGAAAAGAAAAACATTTTTATACGGTTTAGGAGCAAAGTGCCTAGTTCTCCAAAGGGCCCAACAGCTAACAAATACTGGAATGTCTTAGTAGAACGTGATATAGATAAATGACTAGTGTCTAGCCGGTCTTACACGATTGTTCAAAACAAACCATATTCCCGCATTGAGCATATTTTTCGCTAAAAATATAACAAAGTATCAGCCAAACACCGTCTCAAATAAAAAAACTAAAAAACATAAATTAAATGGTCTGTGCGTCTCATAAAATACGAAACGAATAACATAACATAAAAACTTTTTATTTATAAAAACACAATACATCACTTGTCAAATTAAAAATAAAACATTTTAGGTATATTAGTAAAAAGATTTTATCGCCTCAAAAACAAAATTATAACTGGCACATTTTTTTCCAATGCCGTAATCATCGAAACGGCATTCGAATTTCGAACTGTCATTCAAAGGGAACGCTTGATTGACAATTTGCTATCGTTTGTAATGTTTGGTAGATTTTTATATTTTATTGAAGAAAATATGAAAGTGCTCATCAAAAATTAACAATAAGTGTTAAAATTTACAGTTAAGATGTTTTCTAACTTGGTGTTAATCACTGATTCGCTAGGTTTCGTTTTAGAAATTGGGTGAAAAGATTTTATACTAAGTATAAAAAAATGGCTGTTGTATTTTTAGTATTTTTGTCTCGATTTTTAAGAAAAGCTTTTTGATTTTGGTTCATATTCGTTCAGTTTCATAATACTGTGTTACATTAATTGTTGTTTTTCCGGTTTTTCCAGTTAGTCGGCACATTTTTTGTGTTTACGGGCGCTTTTCTTGGAATTGGTTACGTTTTTGGATTGATCGCTTCGTCGTGCGACTATTTATTCTTTCTTCATTCTTTCATAAATATCGTATTTTTCTTTTCCATTTTCCTAAAATGTGAGTAGAAATGGTTGTCACTTGTGAGGACTTTAGTCGACAAATTCATAGTATCTTTTGAATAATAGGTATAGACTGTTGTGGGTAATTATGACTAAGACAAATGGGGTTGCAAATGATGCCAAATACTTTTTAAGCGTATATTATCTTTCATGACAGAATCTGAGGACACAATCTTAGGTCTCAAACTATTTTTCTCTTAATAACAGGTTGTCACTTTTTTTCCGGGTAGAACTGGACTGCCATTTTTTAAAAAAGAATGTCACGTACACTGTTCACTTAGGTCCAGTCTATGCTGTTAACGAAACTTACAACAAAACAATAACATGACTTATTAACTTTTAGAATTATTTATAAACGGATACGAAATGATGAAATAACATAATATTAACATTAAACTATAAAACTTAAAATTTCTTTTCTAACACAACAACCTGTTCAATTATATTTATTCTAGTAGTATAATCCATATTATATTGTATAAAATCTAGTTGGTTGACGTAAATAAATATGTATTGGTGGAAATAAATTTTAGATTAATTTATTTTTTTTATTTCAAATTAATTTTAAAATATTGAATTATAAACAATATGTATGGGAAAGTCACGATTCCTCATTTTAGCATAGGTCTGCCGGACTGGCCGGACGGCCACAGTTTTTCCGTGTCAGTGAGGTTAAATGAGTTTAGGCCTCCTCATCAACCACCGTGTATGCTCCAATACTCAAATCTATCTCGTCTGGTATTGCTGGTGTTCATGGCGCTGATTGCTTACCATAAGGGGATCCGTAGGCTTGATTCATCCTAAACCGTAATAAAGTATTGGAAATGTTAATAATTACACTATACTGCTGTCTATTTACGTCGGTTACTTGAAAATTAAATACATTATCTTAAAATCGTCATATAATTCTACACTGCCCAGATTAACGAGCTTTGCTTGGTAATTTTTCATTGTTTTATCGTATATAAGTATGAGCGAGTCAAGGTTCGGCGTAAATGGGTGAGCTCGACCAAACAACCAGTGTTGTTTCGCCGTGTGAGTGAGGTTACTGACGGCCCAATCCTTCCCTCTCCCCCCATCTCTTCCTAATCCTTAAATATCTGAAACCCTTATCCCTAAAAGGCCAGCAACGTCCTCGTAATTCCTCTGGTCTGCAAGATTGCTTACTATCAGGTAATCCGACTACTCGTTTGCCGACCTATTCCATGTCAAAAAAGATCGTTGGAACGGTTTTCGTGATGATTGTGAAATTTATATTATAAAAAGAATTACTCGTTAAGGTATAGATTTTGTTATATTATTGGTTTCGAGTTTGAGACTTCGCTCCGGACACATTCCACTGAATAGTTTTGCTGCAATGATGGGTAAAGTAGTGTCACCAAATTGTACGGAATGCAATATTATTGAAGACGTGTATCATATTATAGTGGAATGCGTCCGAAATGAAACAGATAGATGTCGAATTAAAAGGGAATTTAATATTGATTGTCGGGAATTTGGAATATGTAATTCAATCCTAGCTTTCCCAACATCTAAATCTGCTAGGATAATTTACAAGCTAGTTGATTTAGGAATTAAGCGTAGATTGTAAGTTTTGCATACTATCTTACTTTTCGTGTTCCTATGAGGGTGACATGTTCGTTAATATGAACAAACCCTCAAAATCTAATAAAGAGAAAAAAAAAAATTATTGGTTTGGTGGTAATATGTAAGTAATACTAAACATCTATTACTCATAAGAAAAAGTGTGAATTTTGTACGAAAACATTGTTTAGTATTCGCTCCAGAGGGATTAACAAATACTCTCTGGGCATTCAAAATCTTTACTCTCGTCACGCACGGTTTACACGTCACGTGACAAATTTACATTTTCATTAGATTCTTGAAATAATAAAAAAAATATATTATTATACATTACATTTGAAGGTTTCTACAAATTAGAATTCTTGTTTTAGGACTGCAGTTCAATTTTATTTAGTTTCATAAGTAAGCATGTATATGTATTGTATGTAATTAGGTATGTTCGATCCGTTATCACCAGCGCATTGGTTTGATTAAAGGAGATTCTGTTAAATAAATATTTTTATATTTATTATATTAAAAATCAAATAAATCGAGGTCAAATATTAGTATAATAATAATATGCAAATAAGCTATTTGTAAAAAAGTTTTCTTACGCAAACGATATAAAAATAATTTGCTTGCTTTGTTTTGCAACGTGTGAGTTTACCCAAAACCCAGACCCCCATCACCAACCCCTAATAAGCATCAGAGATCAATCTGCTCATATGCCAATCCCATAAAAAACATCTAAATTTACATTGGACATTAGAAAAATATAAACAATCATAATAACACAATCCATATTAAATTAACAATTTAATTTTTCTTTCTGTACGTATATTAAATACATTCCTTTTCAAAATGGCGAGCGCTGGTACTCTTCATACTTAAGACTTAAAATGTAGCTCGGGGGCGTATTTAAAGATGCATGTAGTGACCTCATTCCCGAGTTGACATGGCGTCTCATGTTTGTGATTTACCTGAAACAGACAGCCTTTTACATAACTTAGTTAATTTATTAAAAGAACTAACATAACGTTGACGTAGATTCATTAACTTCATAATAAAATAAAAAAGTAATTAAGTGAACTTTTACACTCTGTTTGACACCTGGCGTTTTGTCCACCAGGCAGAAAATAACATATGATTGCATACCGAATGACTTTTGATTTTTTGCCGGAAATTTGTTATAGTTTTTTTTTATTCTAACGCGACAGCGATGTGTAAGCGTATTGAATTGGTTAACATTTTAACTTAATTGATTTAAAGAAACTTCACTAAAATTGTGCCACCTAGACTTCAACCCATTTGGCTCATGTTCAGCCGGGGTTGTGGGTGCAAGCGTAATATAATACCACTGCCCCAGCGTGGAGCAGGAGAAGTAACGGAGTGGTATTTTTATCAGTAACAGACTGACACTACTCGCCTAGTCAGTTATACAGTCTCTTCTGTGACTCTAAGGCCTAAGTCATGTCTCCTGAATCAAATTTACCGAGGGAAGAGGAAACTATATCGTTTTTTCTCCTCCCCAAATAATATCTTCTGATTTAGTTCGTTGCGGGTTCCAAAACAGTCACTCACGTCCTTGAGATGCGCCGGACTTCAGTGTTCTGGTGTTTTCATGGTCGTGTCTACTGTAGATCCTGTTTGCAGTTGGAGTTTAGGGAGGTTGCGGTGGGCTAATCCCATCAAAAAATACACTACTCGCCACAACCCAGGACGGGAGAATTCATATGAATATATTCCAGCTTTATAATATTTTTTATTAATGACTACGATACACACATATTCCAATACACGACGTTTAATACACATCAAGTTTGCCTCTCTAATATTATAATACGCAATAACATGTGTATTCTTACATCATAACTTCCTATATAAAGTCGTGGTAAATATTTGAACCATAAATATTTACCTCTTTGTCACAGTTTTCTGACACTGTTCTCATGTGTTCCATTTTCTTTTTATTTGTAAACACCAAAGGTGTTACGGCAGTCATGAAACCCATTTTTGAATATCTGTTGCTTTTTACAACACCGATCTGTGGAGAAAAGTTATATTTTGGTTATTATATGAATAGTAATTATCGTGAGACATACTAAACGTATTGAAAATTTACTGAGTAAAGCCGTACTAGTTTCAAGTCGTAACGGGACTCTTATTTAGACTGCGTCCCGTGGTAAGTTGAAACTAGTAGAGGTTTTCTCGTATAATTCATGTGGATCAGTAGTAGCTAGTGCTTGATCGATCTGCTACAAAATTGCTATTGTTAATAATACTCTAAAATTGCGATAAAATACTCTTTTCAATCCAGTAAAGCGATTTCAATTTTTAACTTCATAGATCTAGTAGTAATTAATATGATGGTGACTTATTATAAATGAAAAACATATTTATGGATTACTTTACTTTTATACTCTGTCTCGGACGTGGCCTGACTAGTTTCAAACTATTCCTAGGGCCCTTATTTATGTGCTACGTACATTTAACTGTAAGCAAAATTGTTTTTTTTTTATGGGATAGGTCAGCTAACGAGTAATCAAACGCCAAAGGTAAGCGGCGTCGCCTATGGATACCGGCAACACCAAAGGAGTTACGAGTGCGTTGCCGGCCTTTGAGGGATAAGAGTTTTGGATATTTAAGGATTGGAAAGAGTTGGGAGACGGGAGGAATTAGGCCCCATAATCATCAAAATATAATTTGATTTGATATGATATTTGTTGGTACCTTTTCGAGTAAGCATTTAACAATGCAAGCTGAAGTTTCTGGATAAGGTGGTTCATTTCGAAGGTTCTCCAGGTCCTTGGTGGTGGCATTGACATGGTCCATGCATGTGTGTGCAGCTGCTATGACTGTCCTCTTTACAATCTCACCAAATTTGCTTTCTGAATTCAACAAAGAAATTTAATATGGTAACTTTTTGTGAAAGTAGTTTAAGTTTAGATATGGAGTTTCTTGCTTGTTCTTCTCCATTGATAATTAAGAATCTACACTTTGTAACGAACAAGTAGCTACACTAGAGGACAGACTGGCACGCATAAAGTTAAACCTTTTGATATTTCTTTTTTGCTTAACGTTCAAAATGCCTGTTGTAGTCTACTGAAATATATGATTTGATTTGATTTGTGAGTAAAATCATCAAATGACTTCTGTCGGACTCTTTCTGACAAAACTGCCCCCCGTTCCTTCTGCTTTAGGCCGAGGCCTTGTTGCTCTATCCTATACAAACTCTACATTAGCCCTGTAGGTCTACGTCTGTGGATGTCTTCTACTTTGAATTGTATACCTGTTGTATACCCATGCGAAGTTCAGTATAAAACAAAATTTTCCCTAGTTCGATTTTCCGCTGAATTTAGCTTAAGTCTGTAAATGGACTTATGGCTTTATTGTAATTTTACGAGGGAATATAAGCCCGTTCGATTTTATCGGAATTAGGAAATATTTACCTTAGCATCGCGGTGTAAGGAAATGTTTCGAGGTCGTTGATTGTTGGAATTTCTGATACTGTTTTTTATAAAAAAAGCAAATCATTTTGTACATAAGATTTATTACTTGTTATCTTTTGGTTGAGAGGTAGTTTATTTATTCTTTTTGTATACAAGCAGTAGTAATCCTATTTTTATTTTATTTAGAATAGGAGCTCGCCTCCGTTTCTTATCTACAACTAGCTTGGTATCAGTCCTTTATTTTGTTATCAAATGACTTACACGAAATTTTCTTATATGAGACCCTTTTCAGTAAATCGCGAACGCCGGCGCTCCCGAATTTATTGTTCTTTTATTTGTGTCTCCAGTAACCACGATTGAAAGGTTAAAAAGAATTATCCGAATTGATATAAAGTTTCAAAGGAAATTAGTAATCATTAAAATATTAACCTAGAGATACAATTTTATAAAAACGTACTTAAAAATTTAAAGATCTTGTGTAGGAGGGAGTAATCTTTAGAACTGATGCTCATTTCCAAAAGGCTTTTGCTGGTAGATAGGTACAAAAAAGTCAAAAATCATTTATTCCAATTAGACCTTTACGGGAACTTTGGAACATCAAACAAAATTTTGAAGATATAGTGTCAGTCTGTCGGTCAGTCCTCTTCTCGTTCCAAAGTGTGGATTCAAATGGAAAAGAACGAGCAAGAAACTCCATGGTTACTCTTTTTAAATCAGTTTCACTTACAGATTCCTTTTACAAACAGTTGGTTTATGTACATTATTCCTGAGTGCTATAGAGGCTATAAAACGTCACACTACGGCCAATAGGAGCCACGCTCCGGCAGGTGAAACCGCGCGATAGTAGCTTATATGTCATATACATACGTGTTGTCATTTTATACCGATACTCGCATCGCTTACCTGTATATGTTGAAGTTGAATATTTTGAATATTTTTGTAATTAAATTGTTTCCTGACATACCTTTATCTTGCTGTCCAACTACGTAATATACAGCACAGAGTATATGAATTGTAATATGTTTATTAATAAACATTTTGAGCGGCGTGCCCAAATAAAATAACTCAAAATAATGATGGAATAATACCACAGGTTTAAACCGTTGCGGTAACAGATAACAATCTTTCCGGTTTCGGGATTTAACGAATCAATGGATAGAATGGTTTCATATTATATAGTGGGTGTTGCTTTTTCTATTTTTATTTAATATCAACTACTAAGTTTTATATGAGGAAATTGTTAATGATTTGTTTGTATCGCATTCACTGATGAGAAGAAAATTGTACGAAATCGTAAAAAGGTATGACGAATCTCAAATCTCTTAATGTAATAGGCCAGCCAACGAGCAGACGGATTACCTGATGGTAAGCAATCAGCGCCGCCCAGGGACACTCGCAAAGGAGGAGCTACGAGTGCGTTGCCGACCTTTTGAGAATTAGGATTTTGGAGGTTTCGGGATTGGGAAGGGATCGGGGGAGGCGAAGGATTGGGTCTCCGGTAAGCTCACTCACACGGTGAAACATAACGCTGTGGTTTTTTCACGCCGGTAATAAGAAAAATATTTACTTAATGTGATAACCTCACTCACACGGTGAAACATAACGCAGTGATTTAATACAGATTTCTTTGTTGATAAATTTACAGAACAACAGTAACTGAATACTATACACCTACACTCATTTGTTTAACATGTGATGCCGAATTCCTAACCCCACATAAGTTTAATAGCTCTGTATCACCCCTACTATAAATTAATCCTATCGTATATAATTACAATGGTTCATATTTGGTGCACATTACATTATACAAACTGTCAGCGGTCGGTATAATGACAATGTACATAATTGTACATAATATATACCAATATAATACATGGACGGAAATTATTTTATGACTTTACGCTTACTGCACATGTTGGAGTATTTTTGTCTCGTTGTTTTTCTATTTGTTGTATTTAATTAGAATGTTTACATATCTAGGTAGGTAAAATCAGTTTTCTGTGGATTTTCAAAATCCATATTTGATGTATTCATTCCGTTTCCTTGTCCCTTTTCATACAGCTCAAGTGGGTTAAAATAACTCTTCTAGAGATGAAACACTTTTGGGTTTGCGGGGTGGGTTTTGGCATGGTAATAGCGTGGTAACATATGATAATTTAGTTAAAACAAGAACATTTTTAAAAAGTTTTTGGGGTGCATTAACAAACAGAAAATTCACATACACATCACACCCAGACCCGGAACCACAATTTGTGGATAACACAAAGAGTGGTTCCGTGCGGGAATCGAACCAGTGACACCTTGCGCCGAAGACTGTTGCCCAGCCACTGCGCCAACCGTGCAGTCATAATAAAGAATATTTATTTATTTATTTATTAAAATTACTCTAAAATTACATTTTTAAATATTACTATAAAATAAAATAAAAAAAAATTTAAAAATATAAAAGTAGGAGCCAGCCGGCAGCGGGAGCAAGGTCCAAGCTACCGGCAGTTAGGGCTCCAGAGACAGGAACCTCCTCACAATACGTGCCGTTTCAAGGAGGACTGCCTTCTGTATGAGGCCCTTGATCCATCCGCCTAACGTCAGCCTCTTAAGGTGGTTGTCGAGGCTTTTGGGGACTAACCCATTTGCCGACACAACTATCGGCACAACGATAGCCGAGTCCACACTCCACATATCAACAACCTCGTGAGCTAAGTCAAGATATTTCAATTGTTTATCTTTCTCAGCTTTCACGAGGTTCTCGTCATGAGGAATGGCAACATCGATTATCGTCGTGCGACGCGCTAGTCGGTCTACCACCACTATGTCAGGCTTATTGGCTACAATAGTCCTGTCTGTGATGATAGACCGATCCCAGTACAATGTGATATGGTCTTTTTCGAGAACTGGGTCGGGCACATACTTGTAGTACGGGACCTCAGACTCAACAAGCCGGTATTTCAAAGCAAGTTGCTGATGAATAATCTTGGCCACCTGATTATGTCTGTGCAAGTATTCGCCATTAGCCAAACGACCACAGCCGGAAATAATATGTCTGATGGATTCACCGGGGTTATGACATGCCCGACATATGTCAACCGTCCCATCCTTCATAATATATTTCCGGTAGTTATTCGTGAGGATAACTTCGTCCATAATTGCACATACAAATCCTTCAGTTTCTCCGAAGAGGTTACTGAATCGTAGCCAAGCTACGGACGCTAGAAAATCTACATCGGGCCCGTGGAGAGCCCGGAAAAAGCGTCCGTGAAGCTCCTTGCTACTCCATACCGCCTTGCGGTCATTGACGCTCAGTACTACGGGTTTGCACCAGTTCTCTTTAGCCAAGGATAGTGGTGTGAATCCCTTGTCCACTGTGACTACTTCTCGATGCATATCCTCGTCCACTTTCAGGAAATGTTCTCTGAGATTGCACACCTCACGGTTGTGAAGGGTCTTAGCGTTTAGAAAGCCTCGACCCCCACGCTTCCGCGGGATGTACAACCTCATGACTGATGAACGAGGGTGATGCATTCGATTTGCAGTCAGCAGCGTCCGGACTCGTCTATCCAGGGTGTCAAGTTCAGTCTGAGTCCATTTGAGTATGCCAAAAGAATACATCAGGACCGGCATGACCCAACCGTTAAAGGCTCGCACTTTGTTGCCGCCCGATAACGAACTTTTCAGTACCTTATTCAGGCGGCCAAAGAAGCGCTCCTGTAAGGATTGTTTCATGTGCGGCCCATTAATACCCAATCCTTCCGACATACCCAAATACTTGTAGGTATCATTTGACCCAAATACTTGTAGGTATCATTTGCGGAGAGTGATCTCAGTTTTGTGAAATCTGACAGCTCTAGGCTTTCAGATTCCACTATACCGCCTCGCTTTACATGCATGACCGCACACTTATCAACACCAAACTCCATTCTGATGGAACTACTAAAATTTTTTGTTATTTTTAGTAGTTCCATCAGCTCCTCCTTGTTTGGTGCAAACAACTTGAGGTCATCCATGTAAAGTAAGTGGGAAATAACGTGACCTTTTCTCCGCAAACGATAGCCCAGCCCTGAAGCCTCAAGTAAAGTACTGAGAGGATTCAAGGCCAAGCAGAACCACAGTGGGCTCAGACTATCACCCTGGAATATTCCTCGCACTATTCTTACAGGTTCTTCACTCCTTTGGATTTGCTTACATCCTGGGTAGGAAAGCACCGTGCTCCACTGCCTCATACATGACTGTAAGAAGGTGCGCAGAGTTGTATTAATTTTATACAACTCCAGCACCCTCATAAGCCATGTATGTGGTACGGAGTCATAAGCCTTTTTATAATCTATCCAGCATGTAGACAAATCCTTTCGAGATCGACGAACCTGCTGGCTAATGACCATATCAATGAGGAGTAGCTCCTTAGTTCCACGTGACCCCTTTCTACATCCATTCTGAGAGACAGA